GCCAGAGGAAAGCTATGAGACTGAAGCTCCATCCTGTTCTTCCCCTTGGGTAGCAGAAGCCCAAGCGCTTGGGTCATCTTCTGCCTTCCCAGGCACATTAACAAGAGGTTGGATCAGAAGTGGAGCAGCCAGGGATTGAGCTGACCCTCCTCTGACATGTTGGCATCACAGGTGGTATTTTAATCCCCTGCGCTGAAACACTAGACCCTTTGACCACTTTATCGTAAAGATCTTTGCAATAAAATGTTGTACCATCCTATCTTCCCTCTGTGCCCAGAATATCTTGTATGTTTCTTACAGTAACATTTACTATGTTAACTATTGCTAAGTTAAAGAATCCACTAGCACAATGTCTACCACATGATTACTTTTCTGTTATTTTATCATCCTGCCTACAAGGCTTTTTTCCTTAGACCTAAAATTGCCTGATTGTGTGATCTGCTTGTGTTTGTTCCCATTAATACAGTGTGAGGCACACAGTAGGTACTCGTTAATCTTCCCCTTCAGATACAACCAGCACTGTTGATTCTGCTTCAGGAAAGGTGGTTGCTGCCTTCCATAATCTGCATTAGGAAGAAGCTAGAGGCAGGAGCCCGACCTAAGAATTAAACCCAGGTACTCCAGTGTGGGAGGCAGGCCCCTTAACTACTGGAGTGAAATGTATGCCCTAATTTTTATACATTTGACTCAAGAAATACAGCTAAATGATGAATAAGTGTTTCAACATATGCCACATATTTTATAATTAAACACATTAAAGACTTGTAAATAATGGTTATACAAACAACCCTAAGGATGTTATTTGTAGTTCATACAACTGACTAAATAGAAGTATTATATAAAGACCTCCAAAAAGCAAGCAAGGGTAAAAGCAAACAACCCAATATGAGAAATGCCAATAATCATGAGACAAAAATTTCTCAACTTCAGTTTCAGTTATCCAAATGCAGATTGAAACATTGACATTCAGTACCAATCACAAAGAACAAAATGTTGAATCTGAAACATCAGTAACCTTAACAGCTCAGCATCTGGAATAACAGTAATATAGTGTTTGAAAGAGTGTCGGGGCCCACAACCCTCCCACTTCTGGCTGAATTGTCAACTAGGCAGGCTGTGTGGAAGGCACCCTGGCAATTCCTAGTCAAAGGGAAACTGCGCTTGCTGCGATTCATCCGTGAACTTGTCATTAAACATGTCCAAGGAGCTGACAGTAACAGGTTAGAAATGCCCTAACTGTTCACCAGTGCTAGAATGAATACGTCCAGTGGGAATTCTGTTGACCGGCTAAAATGAGTGAACTGTGTAGAACTCACGATAAATCTCAGGAAGATAAGATTCAGGAAAGGAAAAGGGGATTCAGTGGATCGTATACCACAAAACCATTCTGTTTTTCTCAAAAGTGTTTTCAGTTCGTATTTATTTGAAAGAGTTACAGGGGGAGAGAGAGATCTTGTATTCAGTGATTTCACACCCCAGATTGCCACAGCAGCCTGGGGTGGGCTAAGTAGAAATCAAGTGTTTCTTCCAAGTGTCCAATGTGAATGTCGGGGGCCCCAGTACTTGGACCGCCTTCTGCTGCTTCCCCACGTTCATTAGCAGGGAGCTGGATTGGAAATGGAGCCACTGGGACACACACTGCGGCCCGCTTGAGGTGCTGGTGGTATAGGTGGTGACTTAACTGCACCAGATCATTCTTCATAAAACTCCAAACATGCAAATCCGTGTCTTATTTATGGGTGTGCACATATCGAAATAAAGAATAAAATGTCTACGTAGAAATGAGAAGTTAACCCAGGATTCACCTTTGGGGATTTTTCCTCTTTGGGGAAAGAGAAGAAATAATGAGGATGAGGCTTCACTCGTATTGCTAATACATCCTTTCTTCCAGAAGATCTGAAGGAAGTTTGGCATGATTGGCATGATTGCAAGTGGAAGCAAGGATTGTCTAAAGGGAATGCCAACAGACTGTACAGGAAGCTTAAGCGTGAATAAGTGGGCTTTGGGATGAAAACAGAGAAGCATTTGGATCAGTTTGTCAGCACTGTGTAAATTCCAGTCCTTGACCATGTGAGTGAAGAGGGCCCCAGCAGCTGCCTCACTCAGCATCATTAGCTGCATAATTTTTACACCGGGAGTACTGTGAAATCTAAGGAAATACGGAAATCAGAGATGGGATTAACATACCTGAGGTAATGTGAGGATTCCCAAGGACTAGAACAAGCCAGAAAAGCAACTAGATTTAAATTTTTAGACAATTAGAAAGTCAATATTTTTGAGCAATTCAGAAGCTAGAAATTTTTCTGTGAGCAAGCTTGTTTATTCTGATCCAAGCCTAGCTGAATTAATATAAGTCATGTTGATATAAACAATGGATTGTTGATGTTTACAAATGAATAAATTCAAGCTGTAATTTATGAAGCTAATGAAAGAGCTTGCAGGAAGCCAAGACAACAGAAAAATTAAAAACCATAGTCAATGTTAGAAGGTCCGTTGGAGGTTCTAATGTAGCTTAGTATCTGTTTCTATTTCTTGTTCTCTGTCCTCTTTGTTTCTCTCATCTTTTTGACATATCCTTTCACCAGACTAAAAAATCATAGAACACCGGTTGAGCCTGGTTAACAGTAGAGGGTGAGGCACAAAAGAACGCTATCAACTGTTTCATTGTTTCAAGAAAAGAGTCTAAGAGAATCCAGCTAGAGTGTGAATAATGGAGCAAGGCGTGCAGATATGAGTTGCTGTGTGATTGTTTGAGAACATTGCGTTTAAATGTCTAAGGTAATGTGTCTACTCGTCTTTGCAGGATTTATGCATTGAGTGCTAGACTGAGTGCAAGGATTCATCTATTGGTCCTACATCCATTCCTTTCCTTTCCCTTCCTTTCCAAGACATAACCACCTGTCCACAGGCGGAATGATGCCATCATGGCCTTGCTATGTGACTTTGCATGTAAGAATTCATGAATTTACTACCAGGTTAGTGCACCTTTTCTGTATCGCATTGAATTTCACTTTAGGGGAAGCTCATCTAGGTAATCATTTATAAAATCGCTCGCAGTAATCCTTATCATTTTATTATAAAAGGAGTCCTGTAGTGAACATTGTAGCAGGACACATGTGGCTTAATATTGCCGACATCCCAACAGTACAAACGTATTGTCGGGAATCTGCCTGCGTGTCTTTGGCTTTGTTTTGTTTTTGATTGGCCTCATTGGCCTCATTGTCAGACAGCCTCACATGGTGTGCTGGCAAATATGACAGCTGGCAGCTCTCACCTCATGTACTACAACTCATCTCATTTCAGTGAAAGTGAAGACACTGGCTCCAGTTGGCTCATCCTTGACCCTGATATTGTAGCTCTGTGAAATAGTGTTGGTGGCTTTACGGGGCCTTGCTTTTATTTCTTTTGTTTTTGTTGAAAAGGGGAGAAAAAAATAGACATTCTAAGAGTATTGATATTTGTGTCCTAAGTACCAAGGCATCCTAAGTATCTTCACCATTTTCCTAAACTCATCAAATAAGTATGTTGCTTGATCGTAACATTCTATATGAGGATAAACCGTATGAGAGACGAGGATTATTAATGGATAGTTCTTCAATTCAGAAAACTGCTGTCAAATATATTTGCTAAAATTTCATTGCTGTGACAAGTACGTATTTCACAATGCAGATTTAGGAGCGTAGTGCTGCTTCCCATGCGACCCTCCCTTCTGCCTGCATTCTACACTCACCCTCTTGGTCCCACACCCCTCCCTCCTTAATTTTTACAATGGTATGTTTTCAATTCACTTTGTAATCACAAGCTTGACACTCAAAGGGTACAAACAATGGTGTAACCCCAGGATGTCAGTCTCACTCACATAGATTACGTTTCTTTGTACTCTGTATTCATTGTACCAAGTCAGGGAAACATGATATTTGCCATTGTGGGACTTACTTATTTCATTAACCATAATGGCTTTTAGCTGGGTTCATTTAATTGCAAAAGATAGATTTCCTTTTTATGACTTAATAATATTCCATAGTGATATATACCACACTGTCTTAAAATTTTCAAACATCACTGCTAACCTGTTTAGCGTGATGTAGGTTCATCATTTTCTTTCCATTTGATAACTCTCCTATAGGCTGTTTCAGTCTGCTGTCATTTACATGTATATTTTCATATTTTTCCCTCCTCATGACAGTGATGGCAATTGAAATTAACGTGGTAGATTTTTCACCAAGGATCTAAGTCTGTACTAGATATGGACTGAAATTTATGTAGCTTTTCTCTGAGCAGCTAAGTCTAAAACATATACTGACTGAGATGTTCAAATGTAATAATTCAGTGTGTGATCAAATGTAACAGCTCAGACTTCAGGAATAGTGACTGCTAGAGAAAGCACAGAAAATTGTAATGTTGACGAGAGGAGTCATGACATTAGTCACATTGCTTGAGAAATGGAACAGGTCACAGAAGTCTCTGACCACGAGAGGTGGGCAGAGCTAGCAACACAAGGTAAAGGCAGTAGAGGGACAGGATTTCTGTGGGAAACAAGAGCCTAGCCTAGAGATTCCTACTCTCTACTTCGTGCAGAACATTCTGCTGTTTTCCATGAGTTGTTCCTGCTTATATATTAAGATAGTTTTTATTCTACACATTATTCTGATGCATGTCCTGCTTGTGATACATCTGTCAGGATGTTGGCCAAATTCACACACTTTGAATAACTGCAGAGAGCAAGCTGACATTCTTTAGATGCAGTGTTATTTTGCTTTGCTTTTGTGGCTTTTGTTGTGACAAAAAGGTTGACTGCTAAGAAAAATGCATGTTGGATGTAGCAGGTGCAAGGTTAAATATTAGTCTGTAAGCATTTGAGGACCCCAAATGTGATGTTTGTTATGCAACCTGCACTCACAGTTTCATGAAGGGGAACTCTTCCCCTACTGGTGTGAGTTGAGTCATATCCTGTGCTTCTGAAGCAAGGGTATTTAACCATCACGGGTTCTCTTCCTCTCATTCCAACTCGCCGCAGTTCGGAGCAGCAAGTGCTCTGTGCAAGAGGTTGTTGCTCTCACTTGGAGGTGAACAGCTTCTCTTGCTGGCGTGCAGTGAAGGCAGCCAAGTCTGGAGATGCAGTTCTCTCCCTGGAGTGAAAGATGTTTGGTTCGTTTTTAACCAACTATGCTGGATAGCTGTAAGCTGAAAAGTGTTTGCAACTTGCCGTTGATTTGTCATAGGGTAAGTAGCATATTTTTGGTTTACTCATGGGTCTGTGGCAGCCTTGAGTGAATGCAGCAGGATTAGTCTGTCATGAGCCTTAGAAAATGTCTTCTCACGGGGACCAGATGATAGCATTTGAGATTCTAATACAAGTGATTTTGAACTTACAGTACAATCTATTTGTGAGATTCTGAGTTTAAAGATCATAACCCTTTTATAATTGGGGATAATGAAAAATGATAGTGCCTAAGAAAGGAAAACATTCTAGAAGCTTTGAATTGCTTTAATGAGTTATTTTTTTAAAGAGTTAAATAACTACCCAGGCTCTTAATTGTTTTTCTTTTTGTTACTCTGTGATCTTGATTAAAAATGAAATGTATGTAAGACTTACATGATTTTGTTTGAGTTGTATTCTGAATAAGTCTAGCTCAATAGCTCTATCCCTCCTTGAAATAATAAGTAGCCTTGGTATTATTGGAAAGTTTAAAGTGAAAAACTAGCGCAGGTCTCTTATCCTTTATATTTGGCTTTCCGTTTAAACAAACGACTCCTGAATTTATAAACTTCTGAGCGATGTGCTTGCTTTGAAATTTTCATGAGTTGATCACAACCTGCCTGGTTCGGTGCTGCTGGAGACACTCCTGTGTGAGTTCTGTGAATAGAAACAAATGTGTGAATAGAGAGTAAATGAGAGGCTTATTGTTGGATTTATTTAAAGCCCACAACTGACCTTTGGCTAGGAGTTTCAAGTGCCTCTTTTTGAAAATGTAGTGAAAAGCTAGAAGAATGAGCTCACCAAGCAAGGACCTCAGAGCACATCTCACGTCTGTCAGAAGAATTTAAAGGGAAGAAGTGGCAGTGAAAGTCGGGTTGGGAGCACCTGCTGCTGTCACTGCACACGTGGCGGGGGTTGTTGACATTCTGTGTGTTGAATGCTGTCATTCGTGGTTGGGACAGAACCACAGGCTGTGCACACTGACAGCTGACTCTCTCGTTTTCTTCTTGCTTTCACCCCCTACAAATTTATCTGCTGTCTCATCTTGGCTTATAAGCAAAACCTGGCAAACCTGCAGGAACAAGTGTTTGATGACATCTCTAGCAATAATGTAGGAAATACCATATCCGTTCTGATCAAAGAGTGAATCTTGTGCAGTTTATTTCAGTCTAATTGAAATGTGAGTTTGGGGGAGAACAATCTTTAAGCTTGCCACTATGAGATTGGAATGAAAGGAATGTTGTCTTTGTTTTCATCTATTAAAGGAATAATATTAAATCAGAATTTAAAGTGGTGTCTAGAGTCACATTCGATCAGATACTTATATTTTAGGCCTTTCACTCCTTTGAGGTAGAAAAGGCTGATTTGATTTTGAGAGCCATAGCAGTGGGTTTTTAAGATATTAATGAATTAAGGCTTTAAAAATGCCTAATAACTGGTGGCATTATGCATACTTTGACTTTTCTTAATTGGTTCAATGTTGTGCGTAGGGGTTGTTTCGTTTCTGTTCAATATTATGCCCATTACAAAATTGCATGTTTCTAACAAAGACATAGAAATTAATTTTCATTAGATATAGATTCAATCATTCATTTTTTTTTTGGTCAAAGCCAAAATGTTAATAAGATGACGGAGGAAAAGGAGCTTCTGTCTTCTTTGGAAGGGAAATGATTTCAACTTGCGAGCATGTTAGAGGGTGGTATCTCAAATTAGAAGAGGGAAACTTTGAAGAAAATGACTTTGCCCTAGTGAAGCCTTGGGGACCCTGCACAGTGAAAATGCAACTGCCCTTAAAGGATCATGGCATGAGATGGCATCCTTAGGACATAGTGGAGTATGTATCACACGGTGCTTTATATCCTCGATAGGAAGGAGCTGTTCAGATTAGTCGGATACCCTGTTTAAGAACCTTTCTTTATGCTGTACTTCAGTGATCAAATTCCCACACAATGAAGAGAGGCAAATACATATGCTTCAAGACAGTGCCTGATTATTGCACCTGCATTGTTCCAGAGTCTGTCTTGCGGTTACTAGTGGCCACACATATTGTCCTCTGTTACTCTATCCTTTGGTTGTTTTCCTGGGTCAGTACAAGTGGTTTTGGCAAGAAGAGCAGCGTGGAAGAGCAAGACATCTGTCTATTTTTCCTTCTCATAATGGTTCTGGCGAAAGAGGCTCATCTGGTTAGCTAACATGGGTCTTGGAAGCAAATTATAGAATTCAGTTAGTAGGAGATTCTTAACCTCTGAGATGAGCAATAATGGGGAACTTGAGACAGATTTTTCTGATCTTAAATGCCTGATTGGATTTTGCAAACATGAAACAATATCACATCTTTTGCTGTATTGTAGTAAGAGTAAATTTTTTAACCTATTTTTGAAATACTGGCTTTGTATCTTCCTGAAGTAAAAGGGGTAAAGACATCAGAAATACCCAGGAATTTTTAGGAGCATGTCTAATTTCTAATTTTTCTTCTCTAAATGAACTATTGTTATTAAATTCCATTTTCTGTAAAAAAATTTTTGTTTTGGAAAGATAGACTCTGAATATAAAAACCAAAATTTTATTTAAGTTCCAGGGCTCTTTTAGATTTATTTTTTTCTGAAATTTTATTTATTTTTATTGGAAAGGCAAATATGCAGAGAGGAAGATAGAGGAAGCATTTCCATCTGATAATCCACTCCCCAAGCAGCTGCAATGGCTGGAGCTGAGCCAGTCTGAAGCCAGGAGCCAGGAGCTTCTTTCTGGTCTCCCATGCGGATACAGGGTCCCAAAACTCCGGGCCATCCTCAGCTGCTTTCCCAGGCCACAAGCAGAGAGGTAGATGGGAAGTAGGGCTGCCAGGATTAGAACCAGCACCCATATGGGATCCCGGCTCATTCAAGGCGAGGACTCCAGCTGCTAGGCTATCACACCAGGTCCCTCTTAAAATTCAAACAGGCATAACTTGAGGGAATACCATCTCACTCAAAAGTTGTTCACTGAGTAACCATCTCATGCTGTTTGGAAGGGAGGGTCAACCTGTGATGCTTCTATCGTGTTCTGCATCATTGGAGGCACACGGTAGGATGTTTCTTCTCTAATCTGTTTTTAGTAAGGCTCTGAGGTGATGGTGATGTGGAACTAATGCATAGAAGGCAATTATGTAGGAAGAGCACATCCTGATCTCTAACAACTTCCTTAGATGTTGCTAGAGTTGACACTGTGTTGGAAGAAGCCTGCTGGTTTACCAGACAGTGAGAGGAAATGGGACCAATGGCTGTCCTCTAACTACTAACATCAGTTCTCAAGATCCAATGACACCTTTGACAGGAGGGTGCTTTGCTTGCACCATTGAAGTCTCAACTGATGACACCACAATAAGACATATGCAACTCTGAGCTTGATTTATTCACCATCTCATATTATTCCACAAAGGCCTTGAAGTGAAGAAGGGTTAAGAAAGGTACTTTGTTTTGCTCAGCAAATATCTGTGTAAAGACCTAAATCTTGATCAGAAAACTCATTTCTTGTGTATATGTACCATCGAACTGTCTCTTCCAGTAACAACTGCTAATTTCTGATGGAATCCTTCTAGGAAGTTCTGTTCCTTGTAAATGTTCTGCAGAGCCGCCTCTGCAGGCTCCGTGGGCTGAAGGAGTTTCTGTTAGGCCTCATCTGATAGAGCATTGATTTCTGCAATGATTATCAAAATAGAACATCTGGCTTTTGCTACTGCCACAGTTGTGTGTCCAAGCTCTTACTCTGGGCAAATGACCCATAATGTAAAAGTGCCTAATGGATTGGGGTGGGATTTTATAGCTCTTAAAATTGCAAATGTTTGGGCTGGTGTAGTGCCATAATTGGCTAGATTTCACATGGGAACTGGTTCGTGTTCCAACTGCTCTACTTCTGATCCAGCTCCCTGCTTATTGCCTGGAGCTCAGCTCTAGCCTTTGTGGCCATGTGAGAGTAAGCCAGGAAATGGAAGATCAGTCTTTCTATTGTGTGTGTGTGTGTCCGTGTCCCCTTCTCTTTATAACTCTTCCTTTCAAATAAAAATAATGGCACTTGAATATATTTATTGAAAGTATTTAGCAGAGACAAAGAGTTCCTGAAGGATTATAGAAAAAGATAAAGAAAATTTCAACAATTGATGAATTTACAGCTACTTGTTAGAATTGGTCTGGCTCTGTTATATTAATAGAATGCTACAGTGAGAACAATGAAGAAAGCTAAAGGTAACTTTTCACAATTATAGAAATGAAGTATAGCCTACTCTACTAAAGGACACAGGAGATTTAAAGGGAAAATTCTGCAGGATCCCTTACCGTTGAAGTTAGAAGACGGAATCACTAAGTTTCCTTGTGTTGATGGTATTAATAAAGGTTATTCCTTAGTCAGAAGAATTCAAACTAAAACCATTATTTCTTTAAGATCTATTTTATTTTTATTGGAAAGTTAGATATACATAGAGGAGGAGAGACAGAAAGGAAGATCTTCCATCTGTTGATTCACTCCCCAAATGGCCACACCGACCAGAGCTGGGCTGATCTGAAGCCAGGAGCCAGGAGCTTCCCCTGAGTCTCCCATGCAAGCACAGGGTCCCAAGGCTTTGAGTCATCCTCAGCTGCTTTCCCAAGCCACAGGCAGGGATCTGGATGGGAAGCGGGGACGCTGGGATTAGAACTGGCGCCCACATGGGATCCAGGTACATTCAAGGTGAGGACTTAAGCCACTATGCTATGGCACCAGGCCCCACTATTTCTTTTAATAAAACATACTTCTTAAAATGAAAAGTGTATGCTGTCTTCATATTCTGTTCTTCAATTTAGGATTTGAAGAAATAGATGGGCTATATCATGTTATCTCATGAGTAAGTGCTAGTTCTGCTTTGTAGCAAAATTCTTGCTTGATTGGATTTTAAGAATTAAATGAGTTGGCTGTGTAACCACAGGGAGATAAAGGAAAACAGGTGAATAAATAGGTATGGATCTTAAGAAATTGCTAAGGGAACAACGTGTTGTCTAGAGGAAAGAACTCGGGGCTCTGGGACGTCAGGGGGACGAATCCACACTTCTTCATCATGTTGAACCCTCTTCTTGTGCTGGCTATAATAATGCAGCTCTTGTCTCCTTGCTAGTTGCTTCTGGTTTACCAGTCCATAAGTTCCTAGGTGCTTTGTAAATGTTGACCACATCAGGACTGAGTGAAGAGTCGCTCTGAACCTAGTGGAAGAATCCATAGTTGTGTCATTGCTGTAACTTCTGAAGTTTGTCATGAGCTAGTCTGTGAGCAGAGTCCAAGTAAGAAAGCTTTGGAAAAGGTCTGTATGGTTTTAATTATATCTTAATTTAGAAGAAATAATCAAATTAGTCACTTGGTCTTCCTTTGTTTGAGTCATTTCAGTAGTGGGATGGGGATTAGTAACATCTCATGGCAATGTATGGCATACTCAGATATTAAAAATAAGCTGCAAATCCCCCCACTTTGTGTTTTTCTCCAAGATGAAAATTATAATGACAAGTGTTTGAATCAGTCTGTGTACTTTCATTCTGAGATAATTCATTTTCCATTACCATTATAAGAACTGAGCACTATTGTTATGATATTGTACTTTTACAGAAGGAGAAACTGAAGTATAAACAAATCAAATGATATAGGCCTGATGTCACTCAAATCATCATTGTTGTGGAGTGACCAGATTGTCAGGCTTCGTGGCCAAGACACCTGCCTTTGTTGTCTGCTGCCTCTAGTTAGAATCCCCTGACATTAATAACGTGAAACAATCTTGTAGAGAGCTACAGAAATGATAAAAAAATTATTTAATGTTACCACTTTTAATGATTTTGACTTCTCCAATGCTCTTGACCTGAATGAAACCCAGGTCTTTCGTAAATCAGAAATTTATTGAAAGAACTATATTGCATCTGTTTAAAATGATCGAAAATTTAAATTATAATCTTTAATGAAAGATATATCGAAATTATTTGTGAACTCGTGTAAAATGGGATGAGTATTAATGCAATATGTGTCTAACATGAAGAAATTAGTAGTTCTGGATGATTTTTTTTTTTGGTAATGCTTTTTTTTTTTTTTTTTTTGAGGCAGAGGGTCAGACATAAATACGCATTTTCACAGTATGCAGTTGTCTAGTGTAGTCTGAGTGCTGTGGGAAGCTTTGTGGTTTCAGGGAAGATTCACATAGTGTCTGCTTTTCTCTGTCCACTCCCTAGAAATCTCCTAATGAAAGTCATTCTTTGGGCCAAGGAGCACATCGAACAATGGCAGAATGGAAAACTTTAAGTCTGTCATGCAACTAGGTCCGTTTTTGTCTGCTTTCCCCAGAGATTGCATGAATCCTGCTTAAAATTTTTTGGTAGTTTTGAAACGTTTGTGTTTTCTTCAGATCTTGTAACAGTAACTTGCTTCACAATGTGAACTGTTAGCCAATACAGTACTAATAGTAAGAGACCTTCCTCAACGCTCCTTCTCCAGCTAGCTTAAGATGGATGGATGGATGTGTGGGTAAATGATGGTTGAGATGGATGGTGGGAAGATGGATGGTGGAGGGACAGAAGGATGGAAGGGAAGAAAGGAAGGGTTGGATGGCTAGGATAGCTGGAACTTTCCCAGATACACTCTGACTCATGATTTTTGTACCTGACACTGGATTGAAAACACACTGCCTTGATTGAGCTTGTGGGCTCAGAGGAATGATGTGAAATGTCAAAGAGTTTTCTCAGTCTGTCTCATATTTTATTATCTGATAGCTTTCAATATGGAATGGACATAGCTATGAGTCATTTCTTGTCTAAAGCTTTTCCAACCATTTTTTATTAGTTTTTTTAAATATATGATGAACCGTAATTGTTTGTCTAAAGTCAAAGACTAAATTTATGCATGTATATATGTATGTATATTTAAGCATTACATATGCATGGAGTGAGATACAAATAAATAATTAGCAGGTCAATTTGAACACATAGCTTCATGAGAAGTGTCAAAACTGTATTTTATTATTGGGGACATCAACCAAAATGAAGAAAAACTAATTAAAGCTGAATATTTAAAAAGGTATTTCTTAAATCACGGTTCAGTGCCTGTTTACAAAACCCACCATGTTTCTTGCAGGGTTGAAACAAAGGGTCTTCCTTTCCTCCACAAAATTATATCTGAAGTTTAAACTAAATCTGGGAACCAACGCTTAGGTGGCATTGTCAGTCAGCATGAGTGCTGGTTTCCAAAAGGAGGATGATGACTAAGGCCTTGAGCTAGGACATTTTTCAGGTTTTTTTTGGGGGGGGTATTAAGATGATTATTGTTTCAAGTTTTCCAGGGAAAGCAGGGCACAGAAAATTTTCCTGCAAAGAAAAAAAATCACTTGATTGAGTACGACAAAGTAGAGCCAAAATATGTCCAAGTGTCAGACAATGGGAACAACTCTATTGGGAAAATTACATCTCTGGCCTTGACCCAAAACAATCATCATTAAAATCAAAATGAAGAAGGAAGAAAAGACTGCAGTCAGCACGAGACCTTTGGAAGGATTTTCTTGCCCCTAGCCCTCAATAAAGCAGCATGTGGTCACCACTGGTGGATGTCCCATTCCTAGGTATACAGGCACCCTACTTACTGGAAGTCTGTTACTGTGTTTCTGTTTTTTGAGGGTGAGTTCCTTTCCTTAGATGTAGCACCTTTCACATCAACAATCAATGGAAAAAGCATTACCCTGGTCCACAGGAGACATGGTCTTCCTGATGGTTTGATATCCTACATTGAAAACTTCATCCTCTAGCCTATCTCACATTCAGAATCCATGAATTATTTTAGGTTAAGACTTTTTTTTCCCCCAATTCAGTAGTTGCTGTGATATTTGCAGTCAATTCTGGGAAAAAAAATACCTTCAGGTTTGTTCACTTGAAAACATTTTTACTCAGTCCCTGCCTCAGAATTTAAGACCTGTTCATATTTAGCACGAATGAATGGATGACTTTGGACAAACCTGTCCCTATGTTTAAGTAGCTACAAGGAATTATTGATACACCTACTGGAGAAGGACCATGTGGCCTCATTCGTTGTTTCCAGTTATTGATGAATCATACAGTGTATGGATGCTTGAAGTGTTGAAAAGGTATATTACAATGCCAGAGGGATTTCGTTTACCACAAGGTCACTGGTGCTGACAACAGTTTTGAGTGAGGGAAAGTTGAAAGTTCTTGCTTGAAGTTTTCCAAGGGGAGGAAGCATAGAGAAATATTTCCTGTAAAGGTATTTGAAATGAGGTCAAATTACATCTCTTTTGGACAATTGAATCAGGTCTATTAAAAAAATATGCTTCTTCCTGGATGTCACGTGGAAGGTGCTTTAAAAATGGCACAGTCCCTATTTGGGTGTTTTATATATATGTGAAGCATCCATGTTACTTTTTTTTTAAAGGAATCATCTGAAATTTGAAAACCATATCAAAAAAGTCACATACTTTTCTCATTACAGTCTGATCACTTCCTTTGCATCTATTGCTTCTGCAAGTTTATGTGAAAGGTTCTTGCATTTTATTGCTCTAAAGCTTTGTAAGCAAAGTATAAAAGAAAGTTAACTAAAAGAGAAACCAAAGTTTCATTTAAAAAGATCTGTTCAATAAATCCAAATTATTTGAAGTATTGCACCACCCATTAACTTTCATGATCTCTTCTGTATGTGAATATTGTATAAATTATATTTCCATATTATGGAACTAAAGTATCAGAGATCAACTAGCTCAACTCATCTCACTTTGCAGGCACCTTAAGTGACTTTTCCAAGGTCGTACAAAGCCAGTCCCAGGACAGCCCAGCTGGGCCTGGGGTTCCTGACATTTACTTCTGCAATCTCTTGACCACATCAGTGAGAGCATCGTTTTGTTTACATGCACATTGGCACGAAAGGTTTTTGCTTCTTGTTAAAATGTTTCCTGTAGATAGTGTAAGTCAATTTAAGCTCAGTCTAATTTCCTGTTGAGCACTAAAAAAAAAAAGATTTTTTGGGAAAAAAAAAAAGAGTGATTTTTCACCCCTGAATCCTACGGAGAAACTTTTTCAGACCTGAAATTTTGTCTTTATTTTATTCAATTGGTACTGCAGGTACACCTGTAATCCCACATTGAGGGCCAGACTTCACTAGTTAAGTACCTCAAGAACCTTCCAGGTTTTCTTATCCTAAAAATTGGTGCAACCTGAAAATGACAGAGAATCATATTCAGCAGGCAGCATGCCCCTATTCAAATTATGCAGCCTGGATGCCAATACTTACGAAACCATGTTTTATAAGCTGTGACTGTACTTCTGTCCTTAAAGTAATGCAGCACTGGAAGTTGCCACCTGCTACCTCTTCTAGTGACTCCATTGAGAGCCGGCAGCCACGCCCAGGCCAGTGTTTGGAGCTGTGCAGCGCCCTGGCTCTCCAGGGGGTGGCGCTCAGGAGCATGACCTTTACTTTATGAGTCTGTGATTCTTTACTGTCTGGTACAACAACATATTCACCAGGGACTCATGTTCAGACCAAGTGTTCTCAGGCCTAGGCTTGGGAAATTCATGGATGTAGCTCAAGAATGGAAATAAACCCCTTCTGGGGCAATCTGGGGAATCAAGGCAGGCACTGATGTAGACTGCAGGGCAGGAAAGCTGCAGGTGACCACGTACACCTGCTCATTCCTCACTCATGACTTTCCTTGTACAGCTTCATGACCTTTGCTACACGAGGTATATTCCTATCTCCTAGCACTGTCGTCTTCCATAGCCAAGGGAACCCTTCTGAGTATTGAGTAACCATTTGGAAAGACACAGGCAAACAGGGAATGTCTGTAGGTGAACTTACAGAAAGCATTGTAGCTTCAGTCTTCAAAGTGTCTCCGGCCCCTTCCCACTGCATGCTCAGTATGGATGGCGAGGAGAGTGGGCAGAGTTGGGGGAATGTAGCCATGCAATGCAGCAGTGACTGCGTATCTTCAGTCTTGAACCAAAGACTCCCCCTGGTCTTTGTCAGCAGAGAGACGCTGAGCTCTGAGACCAGAACAAGACAAAGCGATAGACGAAGCAGCTGGGATCTGGCAACTAAACAAACAGCAAATGCACTGATGTGTGCTTGGTCTCTCTTCCCTCCGAGCCTAAGAGAGAAGGAATGAACTCCTGGGAAGGAGGAAGGTCAGGCAGGGACAGTGGGCTGTAAATGCATATGTCTGGGGTCAGGGAGACACTGTGACAATGAGCAGAAGGGTCTTGAGGTCCCCAGGACTGGAGAATTCATCTGAGGAAAACAGCTGATGAACAGGGTTCAAACTTGAAACTAGAAGCCATGGGTTCAAACGTAGAACCCACCCCACCATCTGCTGTGAGGCTATGAGAATATTATTTGACATCTCTGGACTTCCAGATGCTTCTTCCTCCTAAATGAAGAATAAAAATGCAGGCTTTGGTACTAGCAATAGTGAGGTTTGTATGCCATTATCACACTTTGTGCCACCAGGATTTCACCAGAATCAAGGCAAAGCCCCTTTCCTGGTATGTCATTCAGGTATATGCTGGTCCACAGTCAGTGGGGCCATCAGTTCATGTGAGACGATCCTGAGCAAAATGTGGAAAAAGGCTCATACTATGCAAAGGGTAAATTTGACAAGCAGATTCATTGTACTGCTGTTTCCACGTTCTTATTTATGCTCATGTTTCCTCAGCCTTATGTAATTTGTTTTGTTCAGCGTGTATCCACCAGGGTTAGGAGGTTACGACTTCATATATAACAGAACTGATCATGTTTCTTGATTCTGATTTTATCCTGACAGAATGGCCAACTTGTCAAACTGTTCCAAAGGAAAAGACACTCCAATCTCCAGTAAATTAACTGACCCTCCCCCCTCCCTCATACTCCCAACAAGAAAGTCATAAGGAGTTGTCTCCTATTAGATTTTGGGAAAGTCTGATAGTTACAAATGAATTAAACTTGATTTTCCCATGCATTTGATGCATTTTCTAGTGGTCTTCTTATATGGAAGATCTGGAAACTAATACAAATAGATTG